CTCAAGGGCTGTTAACAAGAGAAAGGAAAGGAAAGACCATAAAGTCAATCTGAACAGTTTTTGCAATACCTCTTATTTGCAGACTATTGGATTTATGTTATTGAACTCTTGGTGTGATCTAAGTATCTGATAGTTTTTATGAATAATTGTTGTAAACTCCTATATACTTTATTAAATGGACTGAATTAAGTGACATATATTGTGTTTTATCTTTGTCCTAAGATCCAAGGGAAACATAAATACCTTAGTATGTTAGTACAAAGCCTTGTGATACATTTTAAGGAAGAATTTTGGAACTCTGCACGAAGGGAGAACTTCCTGCCTACCTCCTCCCCCACAGAAAAAAAACATTTGACTGAACTTTAATAAGCTTATCTTAAATGAACAGGATTCAGGGAGAGCTGACAATATGCTGAGTTCACAGAGCCACGGCTAAAAGGTGCAGGGATGCCAGAGGAGCTTCACATCTGTAATCCTGGCTACTCAGGAGGCTGAGAATTGAGGTTTGAAGCCATCTTGGGGCAGGAAACTGGAGACTTATGTTCAGTTTATCACCAAAAAGCCAGAAGTTGCCAGGCACCGGTGGTTAATGCCTGTAATCCTAGTTACTCAGGGGGCTGAGATCTGAGGATCGTGGTTCAAAGCCAGCCCAGGCAGGAAAGTTGGTTTAGACTCTAATCTCCAATAAACCACCAGGAAATTGGTGGTGTTGTAGCTCAAGTGGTAGAGAACTTGCCTTGACCTGAGGAGCTCAGGGACAGTGCCCAGGCCCAGAGTTCAAGACCCACAACCCAGAAGAAAAAAGCCAGAAGTGAAGCTGTGGCTCCAGTGGTAGAACACCAGCCTTGAGCAAAAATGCTAAGAGAGAGTGCCTAGACTATAAAGCCTCAGTAACAGTACACACAAGATTCAGGAATTCAAAGAGTTCTGGTGTAATATAACTTGCACAGGTTAACCCAAACTTGCCTGCTTTTCTGAGAATTTAAAATCTAAAGATAGGTCCCTTCTTTTTCTACAATATGGAGTTTTCGTACTTTTCCTGTTTTGAGGTAGCATTAACCAAAAGTGCAAATTTCCTTTTCTATGACTGTAGCTGCTGTGTGGGGAGCCCTTTCAGATTCCACTAAACCTGCCAAGGCGTGGGACAGAACTCACTTTTATACTTGTGTGAGTCACCTTTTCCCTCAAAGACTGGTTCATAAAACATCAACCAGGAAGGAAGTTCCTTTATATTGCTCCAAATTAAGAGCCAAATGAGAAGAACCAGGAAAAGCCATGAGTAAATGGTTTAAAGCTGCTCCCTTGAAGAGACAAAGCCCCTTTTCACCTTTCCTTTTACATATCTTGAGCTCATCATTCCTTATGTAGGGAGGGCAAGATTTGGGCTCAGGTTTGCATGTTAGCTTTTGTTGAGGGACACTGAGCAGTTCCTCAACTTGCTGTTACAGAAGGTTAGTCCACACGTCCAAATGGGGTCCACACATTCCCCTCTATACAGTGATAATAATGTGATAAGAAGACCAACTAAGTAATGAAATTCCCAAAACCAGAGGGGGGGTGGCTGGGAAGGTGGCTCAGTGGTAGAGCACTTGCCTTGCATGCCTGAGGCCCTGGGTTCGATTCCTCAGCACCACATAAGCAAAAAGAAAAAAGCCGGAAGTGGCGCTGTGGTTCAAGTGGTAGAGGGCTAGCCTTGAGCTGAAGAGCTGAGGGACAGCTCCCAGGCCCAGAGTTCAGGCCCCACGACCGGGCCTCACCCAAAACCAGAGAGGGTGATTCTAACATCTTCTAAGTTTCTTCCTGTCTGAGGGTAGGAAATTTTTTTTTGTCAATTGTGGGGCTTGAACTCGGGGCCTGGGCACCGTCACTGAGCTCTTCAGCTCAAGGCCAGCGCTCTACCACTTGAGCCACAGTGCCACTTCTGACTTTTTCTGCTTATGTGGTGCTGAGGAATCGAACCAGGGCCTCAAGCATGTGAGACAAGCACTCTACCACTGGGCCACCTTCCCAGCCCACATGGGCAGGAAAATTTGATTACCAAGCACGTGCTTTGTTTCACTCTTTAGAGAAACTTGAGACTACCTAAGAACGATGTTAGGGAAGGCATTGCCGCTGTGATGAAAGAAACAAATATTAGATGCTGCAGTGAGGATTTTGTTTTGAGACCTGGTCTTGCTACGTAACTCAGCCTGTCCCTGAACACATAAACTTAAGGGATCTTCCAGCCTCAGCCTTCCCAGTAGCTAGAACTACAGGTGTGTGTCACTGTAATAGGCATGCATGATGCAGAGGAAGGAATGAGGCAAGAAATATACAGTCACCTAGAAGCTGAAAGACAAGGAAACATCCTTCCCTCTCAGCCTATAGAAAGAACTAGATGGTGACTTTGTGTTTCTAAGAAATTATACCATTTGAGGCAAAGTCAAAGCCCCACAGTTAACACCAGGAAACGGGGTGAGGCCAAGGGGAAAGGAGAGGAGAATGCAGTCAAGAAGTCAATGTATAGACTGCAGAATTCAATAAAGGGAAGGGGTGAATGTGTGGGAATAATGTTGTGTAACAATGATCAAGATGCATTGTATGCATAAACTGCTTTGTTAAGTGGAAACTCCTGTACAACTACTTAAAGATAATTTGTTAAAAATAGACCTGTTGATTTTTTGCGGGGGAGGTCGGTTGTGGGGCCTAAACTCTGGGCCTGGGCACTGTCCCTCAGCATTTCAGCTCAAGGCTAGCACTTTACCACTTGAACCACAGCGCCACTTCCAGCTTTTTCTGCTTATGTGATGCTGAGGAATCAAACCCAGGACCTCATGCATGCAAGGCAAGCATTCTACCACTGAGCCACCTTCCCAGCCTGACCTGTTGATGTCTTAGCTCAGTGAAAATGACTTCAGATTCTTGACCAAACTATAGAAAGAACTGGATTTAAGCGACTAAATGATGTGGCAATTTACTACAGTAGCAGTAGGAAACATACTGGATTTCTATTTGATTTTCCAGCTATAGTGATACCATTGTGTTCCACCCATTAACAAATTGGGCTTTACTTATTAAAATATTTGCATATATTTTACATTGCATATAGTGTTGAGACTTTATCAATTCCCCAAAACTTTGAAATTCATAGAAAATGTCATAGAGTTTGGAAAGAAAAGATGAGGGAGCTTGACAGTGAGGGACATGGAGGAAGAAGTAAGTCTTCAATGAAGAAATCATTGGAACATGTTTTATGGGTTTACCAGTAAAAGAGAACACTGTAAAAAAGGAACCAGTGAAGGTGAAGGAATAGAGAGAATGAAAAGCAAATGGACAAGAGCACCCCTAACACCCAGTTCTTGGTTTCTAAACACCATTCTCCAAAAGTTCCAGGTCTCCAATGACAAAGCATTGGACTACAGCAGGAAACATCAGGAGAATGGTTTGAACACAGATTCTTGGGGCTACAAGCCTAGCCCTCAAAAATTTCTTTAAAAAGTTAAATGTCACAGGACACAAAAGCCAACCTAAAAGAAAAACCAAAGTCAGTGTCAGAATGACTTGAGTGATCAAATGCCATGGGATTATAATGCCAAATGTAACATAAATATGTGCAAGGCACCAGTGGTTTGTGTCTGTAATACTGAGGAGGCTGAGATCCAGAGGATCAAGGTTAGAAGTTGGCTAGAGCTGAAAAGTCAGAAAAACAATATGCAATTAAGCTAAATGCTCCACTAAAGATGTGGCTCAAGTGGTAGAGTGCCAGCAGAGCAAACAAACCAAGCAAGCAAGCAGGAGGACTCAAGTTCAAGCCCCATAACTGCCATTAAAAAAAAAAGAAGAGCAGGGCTGGTGGCTCAGTGGTAGAGCGCTTGCCTTGCATGCCTGAGGCCCTGGGTTCGATTCCTCAGCACCACATAAGCAAAAAGAAAAAAGCCGGAAGTGGCGCTGTGGCTCAAGTGATAGAGTGCTAGCCTTGAGCTGAAGAGCTGAGGGACAGCGCCCAGGCCCAGAGTTCAGGCCCCACGACTGGACTAAAAAAAAAGAGCTAAGTGTTGGTGCCTCACACCTGCTTAATTACTTAGGAGGCAGACATCTGAGGATGTGTGTGTGTGTGTGTGTGTGTGTGTGTGTGTGTGTGTGTGTGTGTGTGTGTGTTGGAGATAGGAGACTCTCTAACCACACACACACACATAAGCTGGAAGTGGAGCTATGGCTCAAGTGGTAGAGCGCTGGCCTTGAGCACAAAAACTCCAAACCTAGCCCTGAGTTCAAGAGGAGGGGGGAGGTAGAAAGGGAGAGGAGGAGGAAGGAAAAAAGAAGTAGAAGTGGTGGAGCAGTATCTATGAGCCCACATTGATGTAGACATTTTTAAACGAGGAAAGAAATCTTACACAGTTAAAATCTTTCCACCTAAGGAAATGAAGCTTAAGTCCACCCACCTTGAATGTGGGTGTGGCTGTGCTTGGGAAGAGGTAGTGTAGAAAGCGATGGGGGAGACTAACAGCAGCAGAGACCAGGCAGGCCTCCAGCTTGCACTTTTGACAGGAAGGGATGGGAGGGGCCTTTCACTTCTGAGGACGTCATCCCTCCAACCCCTTACCCCATTCCAAGAAAATAACCAGTCAAATTACTCTGCACCTGGCTCAGGTTTAAGCTGTAATGTTTTGTCTTGTACTCTCCATTGGGGTTACTTGTAGATTAAAAGGAAACCACGCAGCCTATGTTTCTTTGGGCACTTTATGTTTTCCAAGTCTTTCCATTTCCTAACAAATGGGGCAATGTCATTCTGATGGAGGCATAGAATTCCATTGTGTATATATACCACATTTTCTTGATCCATTCATCCACGGAGGGGCATCTGGGTGGATTCCAAATCGCAGCTACTGCAGCGACCTCCACCCCGCCCCGCCCTCCAAGTCTCGATCCTCCCCTGCAGCGCTACCCGCCGCCTCTAGGGCGCGCTTTTCCTCGCCCGTTCTGCGCCGGCGCACGCCTTTCGCGACGCAGGAGATCTGTCTGCGACTGCGCACCCAGACTAAGATGATGGCGGCGGTGGTCACCCGCCGGGCCTGGAGAGCTGCGGCTACTGCCGCCGGGCTGCGCTGGCGGTAGGTGACGGCCCGTTCCGGGGACCCCGAATAGGGCTCCCGCTGGGCGTCTCCGGCGGAGCGTTCGCCGTCTCGCTGCCTCTTCTCAAGGGGTTAGGGTCGTGCGTTTGATGGAGGCCCAGGCCTGCCCCTGTGGCCTGGCGTCCGCCCGCAGGTGGGCGGCTGTGGGCTGGTGTGACCAGGCCGCCCGAGCTCTGGCCGGATCGGGTACCCCGCGAGGGGCACCCCGGAGCCCTGCGGGCCCCACCTTCAGAGAAGGGACCGAGCTGGCTTTAAAGTCAGTATCCCCTCGCTGGTCAGCACGTGCATTGGTTCCCTAAGTCCTTTAAACAAAAATCAGTGCCTTACCGAGGTCTGGAAAGAAGACGTGACAAGGCCAGGGTCACACATTTCCAGAGTGTTGGAACTATGAGGACAATCGACAAGCTTGACTTTGCCAGCACCACCCTGCTTCGGCCCCCTCTGCACTTTGGCCCACCTTTGCCCCACGTTTGCGCCCCCACCCCCCCTCGCCTGTGGGGCATGTGAGGCCTGAACTCTGGGCCTGAGCCCTGGCCCTCAGCTCTTCAGCTCAAGGCTAGCACTGTACCACTTGAACCACAATGCCACTTTCCAGCATTTTCTGCTTAGGTGGTACAGAGGAATTGAATCCAGGGCCTCATGCATGCAAGGCAAGCACTCTACCATTGAGCCACCTTCCCAGCCCCACCTTTGCCCCTTTTCTTTAGGTTTCCCCAACAGGTCTGTCAACATTGCAGGTGTTAGACTGTCATTTTATTTCTTCAGAATAATGCCTCACAAGGTCTTGTGTTTGCCTTGCATGCATGAGGCCCTGGGTTCGATTCCTCAGCATCACATAAGCAAAAAAGCTGGAAGTGGTGCTGTGGCTCAAGTGGTAGAGCGCTAGCCTTGAGCAGAAGACTGAGGGGCAGCGTCCAGGCCCAGAGTTCAGGCCCCACGACCGGAAGAAAAAAAACCAAAAAACAAAAAACGCCTAACAGGGAGTTAGAGTATTAGAGTTTGAGTATTCGAATATTTGGTGTTAATGGTGCTCCTGAAGTGTAGATAATTTCAAGTGGCTTCACAGATTCCTTGATTCCTCATTTAGAATTTTCCCACAATGTTATTAATGCTAATTCTTTTGTTCTGAATCCTTGGTGCCAGCTCTATCCAGTAACATCTAAAGAAATTCACTTAAGTTACAGGCTCACAACATCCCATAGTCTTTACCTACAAATGACACTTAAAGATCACCAAAGATGGGAAGAGTGGTAGGTCATCTGTATTCCATTTACTTGATGCCTACTTTTTCCTTTATGAATACCAGAATTTGGTTTTGTAAGAGAAATGTGACACAGCTTGTTTGTTACGTTTTAGGTGAAAAGCAGAGAAAAATAAGTTTTGAAGTAATTGTGTGTGATCACAAAAATGTCTCCTGTGCTTAAAATTCTCCTATGATTTCATAGTTGTAATGCATAGCAATATTTTAAGTTAATTATTACAGTAGATTATATCACAGTTCTTCGTGGTTTTTTTTTGTTTTTTGTTTTGGTTTTTTTGGGGGGTCCAGTTGTGGGGCCTGAACTCTGGGCTTGGGCACTGTCCCTCAGCTCTTCAGCTCAAGGCGAGTGCTCTACCACTTGAGCCACAGCACCACTTCTGGCTTTTTCTGCTTATATGGTGCAGAGGAATTGAACCCAGCCCTCATGCATGCAAGGCAAGCGCTCTACCACTGAGCCACCTTCCCAGCCCCAGTTCTTAGTTTTTTTTCACTATTAAAGTCACATTTTATTTTATACTCTACAGTAGTACTTTGCGTAGTAGTACTTTCGTCACTTGGATGTTATATAATTATATCTCCTGTAATTGAGAATATGAGTCTCCCTTTGATATTTATCTGTTTTTGAAATTTTGGCATTATTTGCCAAAATAATAATGTGTATGGAAATAATGTGGTTGAAAAATGAAAACAAAGTCAGGTCTATAATTTTTCTTTTCTTATTTTTTTTTTCTGTTCTCCTTCTCCTCCTCCTCCTCCTCCTTCCCCTCCTTCTCCTCCTTTTCCTTCTTCCTCCTCCTCCTCCTCCTCCCTCCTCCTCCTTCTTCTTCCTTCCCTCCTCCTTCTTCCTCCTCTCCCCCTCCCCCTCCTCCTCTTCTTCCTCCCCCTCCTCCTCCCTCTCCCTCTTCCTCCTCCTCCTCCTCCTTATTCTTCTTCCCAGCACTAAGGCTTGAACTAGAGCCTGGGTGCTGTTCCTAGCTTTTTTTTCACTTAATGCTGGCACTCTAGTACCTGAGCCACACCACTACTTCTAGTCTTTTCTGTGGTTAATTGGAGAAAATAGTCTCCCAGACTTTCTTGCCTGAGATGGCTTTGAACCACAGTCCTCAGACCTAAGCCTCTGAGTATCTAGGATTACAGGCATGAGCCATCAGTGCCTGGCTATATTTGGTTTTATTATATTGCTAATTGTATTTAAAATTTGCATGCCTTTTTTAATGAATGAAAAGCAGAAACTGAATTTAAATGATTAGATCTCTTAAGATGTCATTTATTATTTGTTTCAAAATGTAGACTGTGTCATAAGATGAATCCATATGTCATCAAGAAGCAATCTCTGCATCAGTTTGTACAAAGATCCCCTTTCCCACCACATCCAGCCTTGCATCATGCAGGTAAAGTTTCACCTCTTAGAGCAAAGTATGACTGAGAAACTAATGGAAGTCTCAAGGATTTTTATGAAATATGAATTTGCAGATTTTTTTATTCAGGGATTTAAAAAAATGTAGTGTTTTAGTTTTATTTTTCTATTGTAACTATTTGCACAGGTTATATCTAATAAACCTGTGAAATTTAAGAGTCCTTTTAACATATCCCCTGGTGCATGAGTTGCTTGACAAGTGATTTCTGAATTGAAACTATTGTAGAAAGAAGTTATACATGAAATTTGTTTCCAAGAATCAGGCATATTTGAATCTATTGCTTTCCTTATTTTGATAGGAAAACTTCTAAAATCAAATTTATGGCTTTTATCTAGACCTTGAGATTTTAAATGTAGTTTTCTTTGTCAAAATCAATTATTGTAGATTTGTTGGCAGAATTGTGGATAGTCTTTGATTTTTTTAATATTGGAAATAAGTGTGAAGATAGAAGTTTAAAACAATTTTGAAGAATAACCACTGTAATGTGATTAGGGAAGCTTGGGAGAGTGTGTCTGTTTAAATGCCTCTATATGTGGCTATGGGCTATAAGCATATGATTCAATTTGTCTCTCTTTTTATCACTAATATGGTCACCTTCCTTTGGCTATAGTCAGGTTTTGACTGCAATGGCTCAGGGCATGCCCTTAATCAGGATAACATCTTACCTCTTCTGTGCACTGGAGGAGAAGAATGCTTCATGCTTGCCTATTCCCTTGCACAAAAGAGTTTAGGTGTGTATAATTGAGTAACTCAGCACGTCAGACCTTTTTAATTAGACTTAAATTTTGCAAGACTAAAGTATATGGTCATATATACAGGCTTTATATTGAATACCTGCTAATTTTAATATTGTTACTGATTTTAAGCACCACCAATCTGTTGTGGATGTCATAGCAAGCATAAAAAGAAAAATATTTTATATCAGATTCAACCTGTTTTAACTCTTAAGACATTTTCAGGAATATTTTTCTGGATGCTAGATCTAGGAGTCTTATTTGAAATACCTAATTAAACCAATTATGATTTTGTTATTCAATTTAGTCTTTTAAAATGGCTTGTCAAGTATGCAAAGAGAAAAGTTATCTGGTAATGTTACATATTTTCATAATTTTATTTCAGGCATTATGTAGAGAACATATGTTCATTAGGGGGTGGGAGGTGTAGTAGAATTTTGAACTCAGACCCATACACTTGCTAGGCTTTACTTGAGCCCTCTTATGCTTTTTTTTTTTTGGTCGCGGTGCCTGAGCCACAGCACCACTTCTGGCTTTTTCTGCTTATGTGGTGCTGAGGAATCGAACCCAGGGGCCTCATGCATGCAAGGCAAGCACTCTACCACTGAGCCAACTTCCCAGCCCTTGAGCCCTCTTATGATCTTAAATGATATGGTTGTTGTCTTTCACATTTATAGTTTTTATCTTCAAGTATTTCGTTGTGTAAGAATAATTTTCCTCAAGTGGACTGTGAAGCCAGATGTAATTATTCAAATATTAGTAGAGTGCCTAATATATGCAGAGACTGGTAGCTAATAAATTGTTAAGACTGAAAAAGAAAAAAAAATGGTTCAGAACCAGTTGAAGGAACTTTGCAATCCTTTATTCATAGAAAGTGATGTTAATTTTTTTTTTTTTTTTTTGCCTGTCATGGGGCCTGAACTCTGGGCCTGGACACTGTCCCTCAGCTCTTCAGCTCAAGGCTAACACTCTACCACTTGAGCCACAGCACCACCTCCAGCTTTTTCTGCTTATGTGATGCTGAGGAATCAAACTTAGGGCCTCATGCATGCAAGACAAGCACTCTACCACTGAGCCACCTTCCCAGCCCATGATGTTACTTCTTTCTTTAATATTTCATTTGAAAAATTGTTCCCTTATAATGTAAGCTTCTCTTAGGAATGTCTCAGTTGGAGGCATAAATATTTTAAATAAAGTGCTTGAACATTGAAGTTTGATTATTTTTCTCTCTTTACAATTTCTCTGGTTAACATGTCAGCAATTGATGTCAAATTAGGACATTAACTTAAGCAAAAGGTACAGTAGTTTAATTTCTGCTTCATTCAGAAAATGATTTAAAATTATTTCTCAGCTGTCAAGCTAGAACTTTCTCCCTAAATGGCCAAGAAAAGCACTGAAAGGCAGTGAATATAACTCAGTGGTAAAAACACTTACCAAGCATGTGCCACCTACTATATATTTTGCCAAATTTAATCACTTTCAATTTAAAAATAAAACTATTGCTTTTGAGAATTTTGTTTCTCCTAAAATATATGGCATGATGATAATGGCAAAATAGGAAGACTGTTCTTAAGCCCATTTTCCTTTGATGCTTAGCACTAACTGATAAGGATTAACAGTACACTGGTTAAGATTCAGTACCAGAAAATTATCCAGACTTGAGTTCTGGTCATTTCACTGACTCTGAGTGATTTGAGCTTTAATTTCCTCATTGATAATATAGGGCCCTGGTGGTTCCTGAATGTAATTCTAGCTACTCAGAAGGCTAACATCTGAGGAAAAAGGTTCAAAGACAGCCTAGGCAAGAAAGACTGAGATTCTCATCTCTAACCACCTCAAATGGTACAGCTGTCCCTGAGACAGTGCCCAGGCCTTGAGTTCAAGCCTTAGAACACACACACACACACACACACACGCACACGCATGCATGCACGCACGCACGCACACACACACACACACACACACACACACACACACACACACACGAGAAAAAGGATAAAGCTGGAAACATTTCAGCAGTATAGTGCTTACCTGTCATGCACAAAGCCTTGGGTTTGGTTCCTAGCACTGCTGATAAAATAAAAACAAAAATAGACACAGTGCCTCTAAGATTTATTTTCTAACTAATAAAGGTTTGTTTAACCAGCATGTTTATTGTTTTCAAATGCTGAAAACTCCAATGCTATTCTCTTGTTCTGCAAGTTTCCATAACTGCAGGATAGTAAATTAAACATACTGTCTGTTCTCTGTTGCATTAATGAATTCATTCCAAATATAATCATAGTCCTAGAAGAAATACACACAAAATGAGTCTATGAAGATACTTCTTAAATATTTCAGAAAATAATTCACATAGATGTTCACTTATATGATATTTTATATTGTTACTTACAGTAATATTGGACAAGTTACTTAACATCTCTGAAACTCATTTCCTTTATGTGGTACAAAATGGCAAAAATAGTTCTTCCCCTGACTCCTGCCCAGATTTCACTATGTGGACCAGGTTGTACTTGAGCTCATGATCTTTCTGCCTCAGTCTCCTTAGTGCTGGTACTACACATTTGTGTTTCTATACCTAGGTCAATAGTCACCTTTTTTTTTTTAGTTGTTCATGAGGCTTCTTTTGCTCAAGGCTATTGGTCTACTACTTTGAGCCAAAGGGCCACTTCTAATTTTCTGGTGATTATTTGGAGATAAGAGTCTCATGGACTTTCCTGACTAGGCTGGCTTTGAACTACGATCCTCAGATCTCCACCTCCTGAGTTGCTAGTAACTTTTTCTTTTTCACTTTTTTTTTTTTTTTTTTGCCAGTTGTGGGGCTTGAACTCAGGTCCTGGGCACTGTCCTTGAGCTTTATTTGCTCTACTACTCTACTACTTGAACCATACTGCTACTTCTGGCTTTTTCTGTTTATGTGGTACTGAGGAATCCAACCCAGGGATTCATGTACAGTAGGCAAACACTCTCCCACTAGGCCACATTCCCAGGCCAATAGTAACTTTTTAATAGGGTTGTTAAACGCATACATTCATTTTACTTTTCATTTATTTATTTGTTTAACAAATTTATTTTTCAAAGTAATGTTGTTAGAAATAAACAGTGGGTTTAAAGTGTAGTTGATTACATAGGGAAATTCCAAAAATAAAGCATACATGCATTTTAAACACTTGCCTATGTATCTGGCATATCATAAACAAATGTTATTACAGTTATAAATTGTTGAGCTTATTGTTTTTTTAAAAAATGGTAGCATTTTGGAAAGAAGTGACTATGACATTGTATTATATTAGTATCATAATGATAGAAATCTATAATTAGTACTATGATAGCCATTGGTTCCAAACTGCAAAACAGATTTATATGACTTCTGAATTGTGATAAGTTTACTTAAGAGTAATATCCTATTTAAGAGTAAGAGTAAAATATTGCTGAAATCTGGTGAATAATAAAATTTTCTAAGTGATCATCATATTAGTATAAAATCCAGTGCAGCTATCTTAAATATAGATGTATTTCTTTCTTGTTTTAACTACTGCTTATTTTCTCAGCTTGGAAAACAAAGCTTTTTGGGGTTCTCTTTTTCTTTTGGTTCCCTGAAAAATGAGTACTTCATAGTCTATAAACTTGTTAGCTCCTCTTTATTTTTTTTTCCTAGCATAACAACATCCTTCTTTTTCTTTTTTAGTGCGGCACATGTTTATTCAAACACAAGATACCCCAAATCCCAACAGTTTAAAGTTTATACCAGGAAAACCAGTTCTTGAGACAAGGACAATGGATTTTCCCTCACCAGCTGCAGCATTTTGCTCCCCTCTGGCTAGGTATATTACTGTTTGTTTTGGCTTTTACTGAAAAACATAAACAATTGATGTTGATGTTAAGACAGCCTTATTTACCTATTGCAATTTTATGTGACACTGCATTGATTTCAGCATATTACATACTTTATTTTCTTTTCAGTTATGAGATAAAAGAACAGTAAGACTTGATGTTAGAAAACTTTTCTCGTGCCGGGCACTGGTAGCTCACGCCTGTAATCCTAGCTACTCAGGAGGCTGAGATCTGAGGATTGCGGTTCAAAGCCAGCCTGGGCAGTAGAGACCGTGAGACTCCTATCTCCAATAAACCACCAGAAAACCGGAAGTGGCGCTGTAGCTCAAGTGGTAGAGCGCTCCCCTTGAGCTGAAGAGCTGAGGGACAGCACCCAGGCCCAGAGTTCAAGCCCCACGACCGACCAAAAAAAAAAAAAAGAAAACTTTTCAGTGGTAGAGCTCCTGCCTTTTATGTGTTCATGATAAATTTTATGTTCTCTTTATAAATCTGATGGTTACAAACAAGAAAATTTTGCTCAATTCATTTTATAAGTGCCAAATATTTCACTCAGAACTATAAACTATTAAAATCATCAACTATGGCATAATTTTTTAAAAATTTGTCAATTGAATAGTTTTTAAATTCACGAAAGACAAGTTTAAATGTATGTCAGAAATAAGAAAGCACAAGTGATAAATTTTTAAAATGCACATCTGTTGAGTCAGTAGCCACAGGAATCATTTATAAAAAGTAATATTAGAGTCAAATAACATCAACTAAATATTTTTCTTTTTGTGATGCTAACCACCCATTCAACAACTCAATTCTACTTCCAACCCTAATTGAAATATTTTGTCACTTTATCCTAATACTGATTGCTAAAGATATTGTGAGATTACTGGGCTGGGAAGGTGGCTCAGTGGTAGAGCATTTGCCTTGCATGCTCAAGGCCCTGGGTTCGATTCTTCAGCACCACATAAGCAGAAAAAAAAAAAAGCCGGAAGTGGCGTTTCCATGAGACTCTTATCTACAACTAACCACTAGAAAAACCGGATGTGGTGCTGTAAGCTCAAATGGTAGAGTGTTCCCCTTGAGCTGAAGAGCACAAGGACAGCCCGGAAGCCCAGAGTTCAAGCCCCACAACCGACAAAAAAACAAAAACAAAAAAACAAAAAAAAAAACCCTGAGATTACTATTTTTATACAGATTTCTTTTTTTTTTTTTTTTTTTTTTGGGTCCGGTCGTAGGGCCTGAACTCTGGGCCTGGGCGCTGTCCCTCAGCTCTTCAGCTCAAGGCTAGCGCTCTACCACTTGAGCCACAGCGCCTCTTCTGGCTTTTTTCTTTTTGCTTATGTGGTGCTGAGGAATCGAACCCAGGGCCTCATGCATGCAAGGCAAGCGCTCTACCACTGAGCCACCTTCCCAGCCCTTTTATACAGATTTCTATACAGCAATTTTGTATATCTCATTTAGAAGAACTAGAGACAAGTCACAGAAATAGATTTTAAACTTTCTAGTTATTAAATATGTATATTTCCTTTGACTTAAACATCAGCTTCCCAAAATATATCTTAGTGCATTTATTTTTTCACACTTTTTGACACTAACTATAATATGAAATGTTTTACATGGTAATGAAATGCATGTGTGTGAAACATGTAGAGGAAATACATTTTTGTCATCATGGGGTTTGAAATCAGTGCCAGGATGCTGTCCCTGAGGTCTTTTGCTCAAGGCGAGTGCTCTTCCCCTTGGAGCACAGCACCACTTCCAGTTTTCTACTGGTTAATTGAAGATAAGAGTCTCATGGACCTTCCTGCCCAGGCTGGCTTTGAACGATAACCCTCAGGTCTCAGCCTCCTAAGTTGCTAGTATTATAGACATGAGCCACTAGCACCTAGTGAAATGAATTTTTTTTTTTTTTTTTGGTCAGCCGTGGGGCTTGAACTCTGGGCCTGAGCGCTGTCCCTCAGCTCTTTAGCTCAAGGCTAGCACTCTACCACTTGAGCACAGCTCCACTTCCACTTTTCTGATGGTTTAATGGAGATAAGAGTTTCATGGAGTTTTCTGCCCGGGCTGGCTTTGAACCATGATCCTCAGGTCTCAGCGTCCTAAGTAGCTAGGATTATTGGCATGAACCACCTGCACTTGGCTTTGAAATGAATTTTTATATCTCCTTTTTGTCTTATAATGTTCAGAATTATTTTTAAGTAATTATTTTAAATAAAATAATAAAATTCCAATGACTACATTATTGATTTTTGCAACTATATGCTAGAGTTTAGGAACACTGTCTTGCAGAATAGTCACACATGTACACATAGATGTATAAGGAAGTTTATTGTAGTATAGTTGGTAATGGTCTGAAAATAGGAAGTTGGTTCAGTGGTAGAGTGCTTGCCTCACATGCATGAGGCCCTGGGTTCAATTCCTCAGCACCATGTAAGCAGAAAAAGCCAGAAGTGGCGCTGTGGCTTAAGTGGTAGGATGCAAGCCTTGAGCTGAAGAGCTGAGGGACAGTGAGTGCCCAGGCCCAGAGTTCAGGCCACACGACCGACAAAAATAAAAAGAATCATCTGCAAGCCAAATGTAAGCTCCTGAAAAGAAGGCTATCTGTCTCCCTTATCATTGTTTTGCTAATGCTTCAGACACAGCTTGTTATTCAAAAATGTCCAAATATTTGCTGAGTGAATGAATGACTGAGTAAATGAATAAATACGTAGTATTCTATCTTTAGGAAGGCTTTTGACAGTCATCCTTTTGTTTGTATCTAAGTAACTCATCTCTTTATTATCAAGTCCTACTACATTTTTTGCATGTACCACAATTGTTTTATTCATTCACTAGTTGATGAACATTTTCAGGGTTTGGGGGAGCTGTTAGAAGTAAAACTGTATGAATATTCATGTACAAGTCTTTGTGGAGCATATATTTTCATTTCTCTTGAGTCAGTACCTAGAAGTGGGATTGATGGATAAGAAGATGAAACAAAACTGGCCATGAGTGTATTAGCTGGTGATAGGTAGATGGAAGAGGTTCTTTTACTTTTATTGCTACTTTTCTATATGTTTGAAATTTTTCATATAAAACATTTTCTGTATTCACAGGCAGTTATTTAGAATCGAAGGAGTAAAAAGTGTGTTCTTTGGACCAGATTTCATCACTGTCACAAAGGTATATAGAGAATCATAGAAAATAAGACTTGAAGTATTTATAGCTTTTTTGTAGTCCAGTGCCCTTTCCCAGAATCTTCATTCTTTTTTTTCACCATTGTGCCTAGTATAGAATTCCCATTCCTATTGTCTTTAACACATACAAAATTTTAAAAATCAGATTGTCTTTTCTAAAGTCAATCATTTAAGAAAAATTTTAAGTTGAAATTAATTAGCACCCAGACCTAACTACACTCTGAATGCTTCATTTTTCAGAAAAAAAAAATCCTTGAGCCACAGCAAGTCACATGCAGTGTCCAAGATTATACGACTAGCCAACAGTGAGACAACACTCAACCTTGGCAGGGCTAGAATTCAGTTTCCAAGCGTTATTTCAAGTGTCTTTACTTGTTGCTTAAAGTGTTAATTGTTCTGAATTCTCAGAAAGCCCTTTCTTGGCTATCATAAAACAATACTCCCTACAGGAGTGAATTTGTTTTCTTTATTACATTTAACCACTTAATATTTGTTATTTTGTTACCTGTCTTTCCTTCCTACACTAGAATGAAAACTCCATGAAGATAAAGATTGTCTCCTAAAATAATGATTATTACATAGTTGGCATAAAAAGTCATTTTTTGAAGGAGACAATGATACAGAATTTCCTGAATTAAATTTTTTGCTTCTAATTCTTTTCCTCAAATGAAAGGTTATGGTGAGCAGATATGGGTTGACTGACCCTCAGCCATTACCATTGTAACCAATGGATAGATTTCTACCCAATCTTTGTTATATTTTAGTTTTTATTTCTCTCTTTCTCTCTATTTATTGAGATAATTCTATTTGTTGAGGTAGAATTCTATTCCAGTTGTCAAATAATTCATTAAAACATTACCTGTGCGGGGCATGATGGTACAAGCATGTAGTTCCAGCACATGGAAGGGTGAGGCAGGGGCATCACAACTTTGAGGCCATCCTAGGGTATGTAGCAAACCCTTTCTCTAAGCAAAACAAAACAAGCTGGGCACTGGGGACTCAGGCCTGCAATTTTAACTAAATGAGAGACTGAGATCTGAGTATCAGTTCTAGGCCAGTCTTGGCAGAGAATGTGATGGTCTCTATCTTCTGGAGGGTAGTTGGACATAGCGGCATATACCGTGATTCTAAGAAATCTAAAGATTGGCAGATTACAGCTCAGGCCTGTCCCTGGGCAGGAATTAAGACCCTATCCTAAAAATAACCAGTGAAAAACCAAGCTGGGGCATGGCTAAGTGGATCATGTTAGCCTAGCAAACATGAGGCCCTGAATTTAATATACATTTATTTTCCTAAATACTAGACATATTAGTAGTTTCATGCTATGTCCATAGCAGTGCCTGCTTCTTAAACCTTTTGTTTATTGCTTGGTTCTAAGTTCATGACAAAAAGAATCCCTTTATCCACATTGAGTCAGTTTTGAATAGTATTTTAAGTGAGATTCTAGCTAATAGCATCTTAAATCTAGACTATATTTCTATTTTCTCAAAAAAGAAGTTTCCTTAAATAAAATAAAGAATAATCCATGTGCTGATGGCTCACACTTGTAATCTTTGTTACTCAAGAGGCTGAGATCCAGAGGATTGAGATTCAAAGCCTTTCAAGGCAGAAAAGTCCATGAGACATCAAAGTAACCAGCAAGAACTGAGCTTGGAGGTATAGCTTGTGTGGTAGAGCTAGCTGAGCCAAGTATGAAGCCCTGGATTCAAACCTTGGTATTAGCAGAAAAAAGGACAAAACATGTTATATTTTTTTATTTTGAAGACATTGGTATTATTTAGGTATTTACTAATGATCTTTTTATTTATGGAAAAAATGTTGTCTAAGGATATAGATCAAACAATTTTATGGAATCTTTTTTTCTAGCAGAGTGGCCATTATTCCACAGCATCTTTGAATTTGTTTCAACATTTTTTATGGAATATAATATAAATTGAACTCATAGCTGTGGAATGGCCTGTGTATTTGCTTAAGTAGTTCTAACTTATTTTTGTTAAAAGAATGAGAGAATCTCTTTATCTCTGTCTTTAAAAATAGAGACTCTGGGCTGGGAAGGTAGCTCAGTGGTATAGTGCTTGCCTTGAATGCCTGAGGCCTTGGGTTTGACTCCTCAGCTCCACATAAGCTGAAAAAGCCAGAAGTGGCACTGTGGCTCAAGTGGTAAGGCGCTATTGAGCTGAAGAGATGAGGCAGGACTTGCAGGAGCTTACCATCATCGAGAGGTCTGTCTGCCAGGGCCTCAAGAAACCAGAAGAAATTGATAGTTGATGAAGAACTCAGTGATACTGAAAGGCCTATTTCAGTGCTGGTCAAGATATCCAAGGAACAAGTGTGATTGCAAATCTTCCAGTTTTGATGTGACAACCCCACTGCACCTCAGAGAGTCTTGCCAAAAGTCAGAGAGGTCCTGCATGTTGCCAATGTGGAAATGCAATTAACTGCTATGGTGTCATTCCTGACCATCCTGCAGGAAGAATCAGTGCCAGTCCATACCCAGAATTCAGGCACCATAACTGACACACATGCACAAAAAAGATAGAGAATCTGTTCAATATTTTAATTCTCTGCATCATATAGTATCTTTTAATATTTTAATAATTCTTGCCTGTATAAGGCATGGTACATACAACACACTTGATAAAAGTTTGATGAGTGAATACATAGCAGGCTGTTCCATTGTGTCTTTTAACTCGATATGTGACTCTGAAGTAGAGCCACATATTTTGTAGAAATGGGTGCTGTTGTAAAGTCTATATAGGAAATGTGCTTGGAAGGTTCACAGTGGTATTCTGAATTTGTCTTTGCCCTGGGTTTGAAATACAGCATTTCCCTTTATATGTTTGTAGGAAAATGAAGAAATAGACTGGAATTTACTGAAGCCAGATATTTATGCAACAATTATGGACTTCTTTGCATCTGGGTTACCCCTGGTTACTGAGGAAACACCTGCAGGAGAAGCAGGTAATGTGTTGAGTAATTAATATTTATCTTTTGCCAGACTTTTCTACTTTGTTCACATTTGTCTTGATTGTAGAAGTGATAGGAAAACAGATTTTTATCATTTGATATGTTTGGCTTTGGTGCCAATATCAGAAAGGGTAAATACATGTATGGTTTTATTTATGCTTTTTGAAAAATTTTAATGTAAATTTGATGATTGCACAAAGGTAAAACTTTCCATTATGAATTATTTTTCCTGTGGTGTTTGGGATAAACCCAGGGTCTTGAACATAGTTTGACAAGCTCTCTATTACTGAGCTAAGTCCCTAGCCCTCAGTTACAAAGTCTTTGTACATGAAAGAAATAATGTAATGATCATTAGTTTGTCCTCCATTTACTTTTAACAGATATTAACTCTGTGTATATGTGTGTATGTGTATATATGTGTGCATGTGTGGGTTGTTGATCAGACAAATGCTCATTTTTTGCCATAGTTGCTTTAGATCCTTTTTTACTTTTTTCTGGTTGGTCATAGGGCTTGAACTCAGGACGTGGGCACTGTCTCTGAGCTTTTGTGTTTAAGGCTAGCATTCTACCACTTTGAGCTACACTTCCAGTTTTGGGGTAGTTAACTGGAGATAAGAGCCTCATGGACTTTCCTGTCTGGGCTGGCCTCGAACTAAGATCCTTAGATCTCAGTCTCCTGAGTAGCTAGAATTACAGGTGTGAGTCACTAGCACCAGTTTTTAGATCCATTTTGAAATAAAATATTAATGATAATACAAATACTCTTATTTTCCCTTTGTATTTACAGAGATGTGTGAACTTCTTGTTATACTTTACTATGCATTTAAGTCTGAAGGGAATATACAGTACTGGTTTTTTTTCTATAGTCCCAAATTCTGGGATTATAGACACATGCCACTATGCCATCTTCTCATGTTTGTTCTTAACCTTTGAATAACTTGTGTTATACTATTACTTTATCATTACAGTGTGATTTCTTTGAAATACATCCATTAAAAATATAGTTTTAGTTCATTTCAATTGGTGAATGATATTCTATTATATGAATAAACTACAGGTAGTTTGTTCCTTTTACTTGTGTTCCAGTTGGTCACTTGTATTGATTTCTATTAAAAAGACTGATGCAGGGGATGTTCTTATGCAAGTCTTTTGTATATGTGTAAAATATGTGGAATGCTTTTGTAGAATATGCTCCTAGAAGTGGTTATTGTATCATAAATGCTAATTGACGTTTACATCAGCAGTATATAAGAATTGCTGGGTTTTTAAAAAATAATTACTTTTATTGTTATAAGGGTTATATAGAGAGGTCACAGTTACATAAGTCAGGTAAAGAGTACATTTTCTTTGTGTGTATGTATGTGTATGTGCCAATCCTAGGAACTCAGGGCCTGAGCATTGTCCCTGAGCTTTTTTTATGCTAAACACTATTATTCTGCCACTTGAGCCACAGCCTCATTTCCATGTTTTGTGTTCATGGACTTTCCTGTCTGGGCTGGCTTTGAACCTTGATCCTCAAATCTCAGCCTCCTGAGTAGCTAGGATTACAGGTGTGAGACACCAGTACCAGGCTAAGTTTCAATTTCTTTTGTCATTACTTAGTATTCTTTTCTTCCCTCTGGTCTGCTTCCCACTTCCCTTTCTTTCTCTCTATTTTTGGGTCCTGATAACCAGGACTCATGCATGCTCAGTGTGTACTTTACTACTGATCCAAACCCCTAACTCCTTTTGTTCTTTTTGTTTTTGAGACAGGGGTTTCACTCTACAGCTCAGGTTGGCCTCAGACTTGCTATGTAATTCTAATTTGTCTGTCAGGACTGGCTTAGAATCATGATCCTCAGATCATGATTCACAGGTGTGAGCCACCAGTGCCCTGTACTATTTTTTAGTCCTTGAAAACGAGCAAAATTTATAGATGTGCTAAAACTCTCAAGCTCTGATGTGATAAGTACTTAAATATGCTCAACTTCATTACTAAATGTTCAGTGGATCAGTATTTCTTACGTTTTCTTTAGAGAATCATGTTGTCCCCAAACTATGACGTATTTCCAACTTACATGTTGTTTGATTCTATGTTTTTAATGAATAATGAAGTCAAGAATTATCCTGTTTTCTCTCTCTGCTTTTTTCTAGCTCTTTTCTAGCTCTTCTCTTTTCTAGCTATTTTCTCTCTTTTCTAGCTCTCTCTTAGCTCTTTTCCCCAACTCTCTCTTTTTCTCTCTTTCCCAGTTCTCTCTCTTTCCCAGGCCTTTCTCCACCGTGTGGAGGACCAAGATGGCCTGGTGCCAGCCAGAACGATGAATAAACCTACCCTTACCTGAAAAAAAAAAAGAATTATCCTGTTTTAATAGTTGTATGAATACAAAATTTCTACTATTGTTTGTGATTGTTTCTAGGTTCTGAAGAAGATGATGAAGTTGTTGCAATGATTAAGGAATTGTTGGATACTAGAATACGGTATGTACTCCTCTCTCTACCCCAAATCAGATGCTGCATAGGCAGTTTTCATTATAGCAATGTACTCTTACTTGTCCATGAAGTTATAGTAGAGTGCCAAAATAAGCACAAATTAATATAAGCCACAATAAGTAACTACAAAAATTGAATTTACAGTATGTAATTTTTGTATTCATCCAAAAATATAATACACCTGCTAGAAATGCGGCCTGAGTGATAGAACACCTGGCTAGCAAGCCAAAGCTTTGTGTTCAAACCCCTGTAACCATTCACAAAGGAAAAACATGAAGATGACAGGGCTAGGATGTAGCTCTATGGTAGAGCACCTGCCTAGCAAATAAAGCCCAGAATTCATTGCCACCACCACTGGGAGAGAAAAAAAAAGATAACAGGTTTGTGGTGTAGCTTAGTGACAGAAACACATGTTCAGTTCTTAGCTCTGTACAAGACAAAATACAACAATTAAAATACCCATAGTCAAGGATAAATTTCCTTTACAGTATTGATTTGGCATTGTTATATTGGCAGTACTGGGGAAGCCAGCAACTTCCTTAGCTTGCATTCTATCACATGAGCCATGCTTCTATCCCTACTTTTTGCTAGTTGCTTAGGAGATGGTATCTAGCAAAGTTTTCTGTTTGGGCTGGCATCTAATTTTGATCCTCTAGATCTCAATCTCCTGAATAGCTAGGCATGGGTTACTGGTGCCTGATAGTATTAACTTTTTTAGAAAGATAAAAGGGCTTTAAATTTTTCTTAGAAAATTAAAAATATCTTAATTTGGAGAAAATTGTGAAGAGAAGACTACCTACATTTCAGGCAATTGGCTGTAAAGATTTAAGTTTCAGGAAGTAAAGAATAGTAGACTATGATTTTGCTTACAGTAGACCACTAGTCCATATTTTTTCAGATAAATTGTTTAAAGGCTTTAGATAAGCTGTCAAAGCCACCTAGCGTTGACGTACAAAGATCTGGTGAGAAGGGAAACCCAGTGAAACCTTCCTTCAGCATTTTCTGATTGTTGGTATAATGTCAGGATATAAAAAGCTGGGCAGAGTATAGCAGCGAAGAATCAAAGAAACTTAAGCTTTCTGAAAGTTTGTTTAGATGGGAAGAAAATTTAAATTCTGGGTTACTAATGCAGTCTTGGTTAGTAAGACTAAGATCCCAGAGAGCAGGGAAATTAAGAGGGTAAATTTACATAGTTAGTAACAATATTATATTCTAGAAAATCACCAAGAGTATGTTTTTTAATGTTTTTACCACAAAACATGCTAACTATGTAGTAGAGAGGGAGATAAGGGAGAATGATGTAGAGGGTGACTAATGAAGATACATTGTAAGCTCTTGAGCTATATACCATTCTATAGTGTATATATTGTAAAATATCATGTGTGCATTTTAAATAAATATATACATCAATAATTTTATCAACTAAAAGTAATTAGCTTAAAAGAAAGGAAGTAAACCTAACCCTCAGATTCTTCATTATGGGAGTGCATTTACTTATTCTTAGCTGTGTAGGGGAAGAGATAAGTCAAACAAGCAGCAACTGGAAAGCCGAACAGACTTTTGGCAGTTTTATTGTGCTAGGGACAAAAATTGGAGTTTAGGCTGTGTCAAGGAGGTTGGACCTCAAGAAACAACTAGACTCTTGGTTGGACTTCTGGGAGAACTATATCCTTGAAATGGAATAAAGTAGAAATAACTAAGCTAATAGAGCTGCTTAATTCAAGAATAGATTGCTCTGGTTCATGCCTATAATCCTAGCTACTTGGAAGTCTAAGAATGAGAGGCTCAAAGTTCAAAACCAGCTCAGGCAGAAAAGTACTCTTTTCAACTCAAAGCTGCATGGTGTGTGCCTGTCTTTTACCTTTATAGGAAGTTGAGATTGTGAGGACTGATGGTCTAGGTTAGCCTATACAGAAAAGTTCACCAGACTTTATCTCAGTGGAGGAAGCTGGGTACATAGTTTGTAGCTGTCATTGCAGCTATTACAGGAAGCCTAAAATAGGTAGATCATGGTCCAGGCAGGTGCCTGGATGGAAGTGAGATCCTCTCTCAAAAATAATCAGTGCAAAGAAAAAGGATAGTGATAATTATCTGTTTAGAAAATGGGAAGCCCCGGGTTCATAACCCAGTACTGCAAAAAATAAATAAAATAGAACAGATGATCTGTTGATAGAAGATAGGAAAAATCCTATCTGATGTAATATAGTGCTGAATCACTTTATTTTTTTCCATAGAGTCCATTATTTAGTAAAAAAGTTATGTCATATATTGAAATTAGAATAAAAGAAAATGAAACAGATCCATAGATAACCTATATATTAGAACTATCATACTGGTCTTTAAGATAACTATGACTAAAATATTCAAGAAAATAGATGAAAAGATGAAGAATTTCATCAGAGAACTGGATCCATAGATAACCTATATATTAGAACTATCATACTGGTCTTTAAGATAACTATGACTAAAATATTCAAGAAAATAGATGAAAAGATGAAGAATTTCATCAGAGAACTGGAATCTGTAAGAAAAATAATAATTCTTGAGCTAAAAGTAAAATAACTTAAATACTCATTTAATTATTTTAACATCAAATTAGTTACAGCTGAGGAATGGATTTGTATACCAGAATATAGGTCAGTAGAAAATATCCAGGTTGAAGCACACAGAGAAGAGAGAATAGGAAATTCAGGGAAAAAAACATAAGAGACATAGTATATGACAAAAGGGATCTAATAGTGCCCTGTAGGGTTTGAAATATACCTAGAATTAAAATAACATGACCTAAATATAAAATGTGGGGAATGTAAGTGTTTTAAGGTCTTAGAATCTAGGAAAACAATTCAATATTCTGTAAGCAGTAACTAGTAAAAGATTCTATAACAAATAACTATGTAGGGGGGGAAATTAAATACTAAAAAATACTCGATTGATGCAAAATAATAAAGGCAAGAAACAAATGATAAGATGGTAATAGAACCGCAAATATCTTGATAGTTGCATTTAACAGTATGTTGGTTGTCAACAAAAAATAAGGTTGTAAGACTAAATGTGAAAAACATGAATGTGCTACTTAGGAGTATGCACTTTAAATCAAAGGTCACAGGTTGAGAATAAAAAGATGGAGAAATGTATATTAATTGAAGAATGAATTAAAAGAAAGCTATGAAGGTATAAAAACATGTACCTTACAGCTAAAGATAGTATTACAGATACAGAGATCTTTTTGTTGTTGGTGGTGGTAGTGGTGGTAGTGGTCGTGGGGCTTGAACTCAGGGCCTGGGCTCTATCTTTGAGCTCTTTCACTCAACGCTACTCTACACACTACTTCTAGTTTCCTGGTGTTTAATCATCAACTTTCCTGCCTAGGCTGGCTTTGAACTGCAATCCACAAATCTCAGCCTTCTGAGCAGCTAGGATTACAGGTGTGAGTCACCAGTGCCCAGTGACTTTCTTGTCAGCAGGACTTTCTTGTCATCAAAGGATACTACTTATGGTACAAGATGAAACAGTAGATTTTATTGTATATGTAGAATGTGTAAGGAACTACAAATTAAAAAAAATACAGATACAGACTGGACCAACAAGTATTTTATAAAAGACGATAATCAGATGCCACTAAGCATAATAAAAAAGGGATCAGCCTCAATCATTACAAAGCCACTAGAATGTTTAAAATCACAAAGATTGACACCACCAGGGATTAGTGAGGATGCAGAGCAACTGAAACTTCTTTACTGTTGTGGGAATGCAAGTATATATAACTCTGGAAAAATATCTGGCATTGTTTACTAAATCTGCATGCATTCACACTTTTTTTTCTACACAGAAATTTTTATTGTAAGTCAAATACATTTACTTAATATATGTATTTCATGTTTTTTTTTCTTTTTTATATATTTTTTATTGTAAAAAATACTGTACAGAGGGGTTACAGTTACATGAGTAGGGTAATGAGTACATTTTCTGTTGAGCATTGTTACCTCCTCCTTTGTTTTTCTCCTACCATCCCTTCCCTTGTTACTCCCCAACTCCGCCCCCCCCAAGTTGTAAAGTTAGTTTTCAACATAGTGTCTTGTACATCTGATTGTTACAATGGGTCAACCTGTATCCTTGTTTCAGCATTTTGTTATTTCCCTTCCCTTCCCCAAATTAGAAAAATGTATATACAAGATGAAGAGGAAATAAGAATGGCCAACAGACACATGAAGAAATGCTCAACCTCTCTAGCCATAAAAGAAATGCAAATCAAGACAACATTGAGATTCCACCTCACCCCAGTTAGAATGGCTATAATCAAGAACTCTAATAACAACAGATGCTGGAGGGGATGTGGCCAAAAGGGATCCCTACTGCTTGTTGGTGGGAATGTAAACTTGTTCAACCACTTTGGAAAGCAGTATGGAGATTCCTCAAAAGACTCCACATAGAGCTTCCCTATGACCCAGCAATCCCACTTTCGGGCATTTACCCAAATGATCACAAACAAGGTCATACCAAAGGTCATACTCATTCTTGCCCATGTAATTGTAACCTCTCTGTACAGTATTTTCACACACACACACACACACACACACACACACACACACACACACACACACACACACACACACACACACACAGGAATTCTATGCCTCCATCAGAAAGAATGACATTGCCCCATTTGTTAGGAAATGGAAAGACCACACACACACACAGAGTGGAATTCTATGCCTCCATCAGAAAGAATGACATTGCCCCATTTGTTAGGAAATGGAAAGACTTGGAAGTGAAGAAAGCCAGACCCAAAGAAACATAGGTCCTATGGTTTCCCTTATTTGCAATAACTAGCATATTTCTAGGACAAGCACAAAAGGTCAAAAGCTATGTACATATGACCATATAAGATGATGCTTAAGTGAAATGAACCCCAAGATAGGGACACAAGTGGTTTTATCCTTGCTGTTGTTTTTAATGTATTTATAATGTACCATGTGATTTTTTTTTTGTTTGTTTCTTAAGTATGTTCTTCCCCCATGGTATAACCCGTTTTTGTTTTTTTTTTTTTTTCCCGGTCCAGTTGTGGGGCCTGAACTCTGGGCCTGGGTGCTGTCCCTCAGCTCTTCAGCTCAAGGCTAGCACTCTACCACTTGAGCCACAGCGCCACTTCCGGCTTTTTTTTCTGCTTATGTGGTGATAACCCCTGTTTTCACTGTATGTGATTCCGGTCCCCTGCATCTTGTATGTGCATTCACACTCTTGACTCAACAGTTTTGTTCTCAAGCATTTTCCAAGTAGTGAAGACATTAACAAGAATCTTAATTGTGGTGTGAGAATGTGGCTTAGTGGTGGAGTGCTTGCCTAGCATACATGAAGTCCTGGCTTTGATTCCTCAGTACCACATAAACCAAAAAAGTGCTGTAGCTCAAGTGGTAGAGTGTTAGCTTTGAGCAAAAGAAGCTTAAGGGCAGTGCCCAGGCCCTGAGTTCAAGCCCTAGGACTGGCAAAAAAAAAAAAAAATCTTCATGGCTATTTAGCTATTTGTAAAAGCCAGAAATTAGTTATCTAGTAATACTAATTCAAGTATCTATCAATAGTAGAATGGATAATAAATTATGGCATATTAACTTAGTGGAGTATTATGCAGCAGTGAGATTGGATGATTTAAGAGAAGAAGAACCCAGATACAAAACAGTGAATACACTTTGATTTAGATATAGAATTTGTCTTTGTAAATTATAAATTGAAGAGTAGACAAAGCTAAGCATTGGCCATAGAAATCAGGATGGTAGTTATATCAACAAGGGAATGATTAAGACAAAGGGAGACATGGTAACATATGTCTATAATCCCAGATACTTGAACTGAAATCTGGGGATTAAGGTTCAAGGCAAGCCCAGGCAAATAGCAAGACCTCATCTCAACCAACAAGCCAGGCATGGTGAGACACAGCTATAAGCCCTATGAGAAGGTGTGTAGGACCAAGGTCCAAGGCTGGTCCTGAGTAAAAATGTGAAACTCACCAGGCACCGGTGGCTTATGCCTGTAATACTTCTTACTCAGCAGGCTGAGATCTGAGGATCTTGGTCTTGGTTTGAAGCCAGTCCAGACAGGAAAGTCTGTGAAACTCTTATCTCTAATAAACTACTCAAAAAAAAAAAAAAAAAGCCAGAAGTGATGGTCAAGTGGTAGAGTGCTAACCCTGTGCACAAAGAGGCTCAGGGACAGCACTGAGCCCCTGAGGTCAAGCCCCAGGACTGGCAAAAAAAAAAAAAAGAAAAAAGAAAAAAAAGATCCTCAGCAAATTGCTGAGGATATGACCCAGTTGGTAGAATGCTTCCCTAGCAAGCAAAAGGCCTGGGCTCAAACCTCAATAGCACTGACAAAAGAAAAAAAAATCCCAAACTCTGAGCTATATTAAAATTTAAACTTCTGTTGTTTTAAATGTGTGACAAATATTCTGTGGCCCCAGGCCGACTGTTCAGGAAGATGGAGGAGATGTAATTTATAAAGGCTTTGAAGATGGCATAGTACAGTTGAAACTTCAAGGTTCTTGTACCAGCTGCCCCAGTTCAATCATTACTTTGAAAAATGGGATTCAGAACATGCTACAGTTTTATATTCCAGAAGTAGAAGGTGTCGAACAGGTATGCCAATATTATGTTTGTATAAACATGAAAAAAATATGACCCAACTTTTTTACCAAGGCAAGATCTTTGTGTTTCAGTTGTTATCAGACTTGAAGCCTTCTTATTTTTTTTAAACTAACTTTAGTATTTAGAAGCAACAGATATGTGCCAGGCATTTTTACATATATTACTACATTTAATCTCCTAATAACACGGTGTATTAACTAAGACATCCCTACTTTTTACATAAGGTAACGGAGACTCAGAAACACTGTTGTTCTGATTACAGCAGAGAAATTATGAAAAAGGGATTCAAAACATCATCCAGTTGAGGTGGAATTTAGAAGTCTTTCAAAGTGGAAGAGCTCATTTCTCCACATTATTCTCTCCCTGTGTCTATTTCTCTCCCTTTTTTTCAGGCTCTTACGTTGAGCCTCACAGATGCTGTATGTTCCATATCCCTAAACCCTTCTTATTTTAACCAGCAAGGAGCCAATGCAGGAATCATCCTTTGTTGTACTGTGAAACAGAACTTTGTGATAGGGAACTCTATCTATAGCATATTTGATTTTTTTTTTGGTCTGAACAGGCCTGAGGAATATAGATAGCACAGTACAACATTTTCTTAGTGTAGTGTCTCTCATGGTAGTGATTCTTAGCCAAGAAGCTTGGCCTTCTGGAGAGAAGTTATCAGGGAGGGGAAGATTATGTGGAGATTAGAAACCTGAGAAAACACTTTAGATATATCTGTGTCCTTACAAGAGGGCATCTCCTCCCAGCTTCTCTGAGAACCAATTCTGAGTAGCAGTACTGAAATCTGTCCTTTTGGCCCCATGTACACTAACCTCTCTTTTAAAGTTCTCATCAGCCTTCCATTTGAAATGAAACCCTACTTTAGCCCAAGCTTCTTTTTGTGTGTCTCTGTCAGTGGTGTTCAGGTCTAACCCTTGAGAAGACTAGAAATCATATCCAGGTCTTTGTATTTCTCTGCAAAACTAGCCTTGTTTTCCAAATGTCCTTTACATATTTGTATGAAGTGAGTATCAGAAGCTTGTGTTTTTGGCTCCCACCTGTATACCTAACTACTCAGGAAGATCTGAGGGTCACAGTTTGAAGCCAACCATGGCAGAAAAGTCTGTGAGACACTTGTCTTTAACCAGCAAAAACTGGAAGTGGAGATGTGACTCAAGTTGTAGAGCCTCAGCCTTGAGCAAAAAATCCAAGTGAGAGCACAAGGAATTCAAGCCCCAGTACAAAAAAAAATATCAAAATCTTATTCCAAATTTAGGAATAATTCCCTAAAATAGGAGTCAATTTATAATTTTTTTTCTCTGTCATTTGTGGGGTTTGAACTCTGGAACTCTGGGCCTGGGTGCTGTCCCTGAGCTCTTCAGCTCAAGGCAAGTTCTCTACCACTTGAGCCACAGTGCTACTTACAGTTTTCTGGTGGTTAATTGGAGATAAGAGTCTCACAGGTTTTCTTGCCCAGGCTGGCTTTGAACCACAATCCTCAGATCTCAGTCTCCTGAGTAGCTAGGATTACAGGTGTGAGCCACTGGAGCCTGGTGATTTATAATTTTATAAATCAGATATTGCTTAGATTGAATACACAATATTCCTTGGAAGTACATGTTCACTTATATTCAACATAAAAGAAAAACTATGAGAGAATTATTTTTTTCATTGATTGTCTCAGAGCAGAACCAAATTCACTTAGAATTTGGTTAATATTTGTTGGTTGTTTTCTGTTTTGTTTTGTTTTTGAGATGGAATTTTGCTGTGTTGCCCAGGCTGGTCCAGAACTCCTGGGCTCAAAATAATTCTGTATCTCAGCCTCCAAGTGCTAAGACTTCTTTGCTATCATGTGTGGCTCATCTAGACATTTTTTAAAACATATTTTTTGTTTCATTATCCATTATGGGACTCTTTAAAAAAAATTGTACTCATTGATACTTTCATACAGTAAAAAAGAAGAAACATTTTTATTCACTTGTCCAGAGGGAGTGATGCATTTTGATTTTAACTTAACTGATTATAAACATAAATTGCCATTAAAATGTAGTAGGTATGGTGAGGAGAAAAAGCATTCATAAATTTGTATGATTTTTTTAAAAAAATTGAATTCTATCACTTACATAGGAGGGAGCAGGGTTCACTGTTACATCTCCATACGTGATCTGTATTTCAGCCGGTTTCCTTCCTCCCTCACAGTCGCACCCTTGATAACTTTTCTCGTTTCCAGAGGTATTGCTCTTTCTTATCTGGATATACTTTTACTTATGGAAAGATTAACCTTTTCATTTTTTTCTTTAAGTATTCATTAGTATTTTTCTTCCTTGAGTCTTCACACTTTTAAGAGTCAGTCATTTTTTATCTGAATGATACTAAAGTAAGTAGTTAATAGTATGGTATTCTGGGTTTTTCTTTTTTTTTAAGAGACGTATTTTTGTAATACTTTTACAGTAATAGTTTAGCTTAGCTCTACAGAATATATTCAAGTAGCATATACTATAATATAATGAAGCTGCTTTAGAAACAATATACAAAGTTACTTCAGTTTTATGACTACATAGTAACAGTGAATTATTTATAGTCTTCTTTACCCAGCTGAGACTTGGGACTCTGCTACTGAAAGCCTCTGTGTTAGCCTCTTTTGAGACACAGAAGAGAGATCAGTTCTCTATGCATTTGTTTTTACTTAGGATACCAAGTTATGATTGTGAATTGTACTTAGGAACTGTTGATAGATTGATTTTTATTTGATTGCCAAGCATTGTTGTAGACTTCTTCAAGCAGGTAATTAATATTAAGACTTTCCAATCCTTTTCCTAATTCTTAAATTCTCTTTATTTTATTACTTTAGGTAATGGATGATGAGTCAGATGAAAAAGAAGCAAACTCGTCTTAAAATAATCTGGATCTTTTTGGTGGCACAGCAGTTGAACTTACTGATAACAAATAACAGGCTTTTGTTAATAATATGCTAAGGTAAAAAACAAAAAATATCATATGCTAAGGAACTTGAGGATTAATAAAATATGCCCTGTCCTCAGAGAATGATATATAAATATTATATTTTGCTTTACCACATGAGTTATTTATAACTTCTGAGTCATCTGTACACGTGGATTTTTTCCAGGGATATTTTTATTTTTGTTCATCATTTCTCTTGCTGCCTTCTTTGCATACTTATATGAAACAGTTTGAAAATAATTTTCTCCCACCTAATTTATTTGCTTTTTTTGTACAGAATAAATAGGGAGAATGCTTTTGTTGTGTGAGCTGTCTATAACAAGTTTAGTTATTTTCCACTTGTTAAAAAAAAAAAAAGGTAGAGCCAGATGCTGGTGACTCATGCCTATAATCGTAGCTACTCAGGAGGCTGAGGTCTGAGGATTACAGTTTGAAGTTAGCCTGGGCAGGAAAGTCCATGAGACTCTTAACTCCAGTTAACCATCAGAAAACCAGAAGTAGTGATGTGGCTCGAGTGATAGAGCACCCAGGTCCTGAGTTCAACCTCTAGGACTGGCATTCCCACTCCACAAGAAAGGTAGGCCAGATAGCTCACATCTGTAATCCTAGCTACTCAGGAAGCTGGGATCTAAAGATTGTGGTTCAAAGCCTGCCCAACCAGAAAAGATATATTCCATCTCCAAAATAACAAACAAAAAGCCAGCTGGAGGTATGGCTCAAATGGTTGAGACCTAGCCAAACAAACGAGCAATCTGAGAAAGTATGAGGTCCTGAATTCAAACCTTGGTATAGTTGAATAAAAAAAAAGAAGTTAAAAAATTAAAAATAAGCCAGGCGCTGGTGGCTCACACTTGGAATCCTAACTACTCAGGAGGCTTAGATTTGAGGATTGCGGTTCAAAGCCAGCCGGCAGGAAACTCTGTGAGACTTTTTTTTTTTTTTTTTGCCGGTCATGGGGCCTGAACTCTGGGGTCTGGGCGCTGTCCCTCAAACTCTTCAGCTCAAGGCTAGCGCTCTACCACTGGAGCCACAGTGCCACTTCCGGCTTTTTCTGTTTATGTGGTGCTGAGGAATCGAACCCAGGGCCTCATGCTTGCAAGGCATGCGCTCTACCACTGAGCCACCTTCCCAGCCCCTGTGAGACTCTTATCTCCAATAAACCACTAGAAAACCGGAAGTGATACTGTGGCTCAAGTGGTAGACCACTTGCTTTGAGCTGAAGAGTGCAGGGACAGCGCCCAAGCCCAGAGTTCAAGCCCCATGCTCGACCAAAAGAAAAAAGGAAGTCTATCCTGTGTACAAAAAATTCTTCCCCCCCCCCCCAAGAGAATGCAAAGTCCTTGGGTGATGTTTACTCTTCTCTTTGATATTTTGTAACCTACGTACTATGATGTAAAGTTAACCAAACTTCAGCACTAATATATAGTATAGCCTAAATTACATCTAAGAGGAAGGAACAGAATACTTGACTATATATGTGTATATATACATTCATATAAATACAAACATTTAAAATGGGGAGGATGGATGACAGTTATAGTCTTCTTTTCTGTAAGTCGCCACATGCTTTCGACTGGTATTTATCATTGTCTCCTTTCATTCCACATCCTGTATTTGCTTTGCCTTCAGTAAGCAACTCAACTGTCATTCTTACCTGGTCAGGCAACCTGAACCATCATCCTTGAAGGGTCTGAACTATCGATGGTCCTTCCTGAACTGGACTGTTTTCCATCATAGAGGACATTAATATAAAGAAATGTCTTGTAATCCAGACACATTGTTACCTATCTTCATTGTGAAGTAGAAGTCCAATTTCCCCATTGTAATCAGGATCATTCATGCTGTCCAACACAATAACTTCCTTCTTTGCCTTTATAGAGACATAAAAAAAAATCTCAAAAGTGGCCAGGAGGCAGTCTGACCTAGTTCAGTGGAGTAATTGTTAGGTCTTTTAATGTTTCCTCCCTTTGGAACTCCAGGCCAGAGGAGTATGAGATCCTAGGAAGCCATGATTTTGCTAGTGGGTCACTAGGATAATAGTATTGCCACCTCTTAAAAGAACTACCCTCCTTCACAGACTGTGAATATTGTGGAGAAAGTATCATATATTGGGCACTGATTCAGAGCACATAGAGCATTCAGGATATCCTCTCCCCAGCCTTGAAAGGAATTGTGCCCTATCTAGTGCTGTAGCTAAGTCTTCAAAAGCCAGCAACTTCAAGAGAGAGGGAGCTATAGCTCAGTGAATTCAATGAGCACAGGCCCACCATTACACTTCATTGCTGGGAGGTGAGTTACATAATCAGAAACAGTGCTGTGTGTGGAATACCATGATAGTAAATTGAATATTTAAGTGTGAGTGGTAATTTTGGTAAAGGCATTGTGTGCAAGGATGACACATCTATATGCAGAAAGTGTTGATTCTAGTAGTGAAACATTGCTACTTCCATGATAACAGCAGTCCAGTGTAATCAGCCTGCCACTAGGTATTGGCTGATCACTCTGGGGAAATGTTCCACACTAGGGTTCAGTGTTGCTGACACATTGGACACTCAGCAGTGGCTGCAGCCAGGTCAGCTTTGGTGAGTAAGGCAATGACAGGAGTGTGTGGGAAAAGAGGCTGCCTGGCATACATGGACATGTCATCCTACCTGCTAGATTATAAAAATCCTATGCTGCAGTCACTATTAAGTGAGCAGTCACATAAGACACAACTACCTCCTCATTTTTTTGCCCTGCTGGAGTAACCTACCCCAAATCTTAAGAGGCACTGCGACTCTTTTTGGTGTAGGAATTGCCAGATATAAAGATTTACCCTTTCCTCAGAAAGGACCCTAGAAATGCCACAAAGGTAGAAGACCTCTGAATTTTTCATTTACTTTCTGTCCTCACATTCAGATTTCCCACTAAGAAGTCTAGAGAGTTCTCACTCTCAGTCCATTACCTTAATGGACCAATATGGTATGTTGTGAGAGAAAGGGCAATCCCTGAAAACTAAGTTATGACATAAGGTTGGAGATTAGATGTACTCCTAGGAGAAGAAAATGAATGTATATGCTGACCTTGCCAGATGAAAGCATGCTTTCTTGGGAGGCTAAGTCCAAAGGGTCAAGATTGAATGTCAGCCCAGGAAAGAAAAGTCTATGAGATTCTATCTCCAAATAACCAGCAAAGGCTGGGAAGGTAGCTTAGTGGTACAGTGCTTGCCTTGCATGCATGAGGTCCTGGGTTTGATTCCTCAGCATCACATAAGCAGAAAAAGCTAGAAGTGGTGCTGTGGCTCAATTGGTAGAGCACTAGCTTTGAGCTGAAGAGCTGAGGGACAGGGCCCAGGCCCAGAGTTCAGGCCCCATGAATCAACAGAAAACAAACAAACAGCAAAAAAAAAAGATAGGCTGGACATGTGGCTCAAGTGGTTGAGTGCCAGATGTGCTAAGTTTGAGGCTATGAATAACCAGTAATTTTCAATAATAATAATAAATATTTTCTCATGATCTAACTACTTATTTTGCATTTAGGCGGCAGCAGTTTCTATTTTGAATTTGCAGAAATTGATTTCAAAGCTCTTTAAGAATGCCGAGGCGGGCTGGGAAGGTGGCTCAGTGGTAGAGCGCTTGCCTTGCATGCTTGAGGCCCCGGTTCGATTCCTTAGCACCACATAAAAAAGCTGGAAATGGCGCTGTGGCTCAAGTGGTAGAGTGCTAGCCTTGAGCTGAAGAGCTCAGAGTTCAGGCCCCACAACTGGACCCCCCCCCCCAAAAAAAAAAAGAATGCTGAGGCTCCTTTCTCACACAAAATTATTTCTCACAATCACAACAATTTGAATTTTTTAAGACAAGTGAGTAGACCTTTAATAAATTCATGGAGTTGGTGATTAAGCTCAGTAGAAATACCAGGTTTAAGGACCTGAGTTTGGTCCTCAGCAATACAGAGAGACAGACAGAGGCAGACAGAGAGAGAGAAATTCACTGTAACATTCTAATTTCCTTATGCCTTATGCCTTTGAGTTTTTGAATCTGTTCTATTACAAAGCAGGTCCAGAATTTGAACTCACTTACTGAGGGCCTGTGGCTTTAGGCCAGTAACCATTTTAAACATTTAACTCCCCAACTTGAATCATTAGATACAGAATTTCTTCTTAGGGTCCACCTCCATCCATCTTATAACCTTAATATTTCCACACATCAGGGTCTTCACACATCCTCTATTCTAATTTTCAGAATTCTGTTCCTTTCCAGTTAGTGTTCTTAGTTTATTAGGCATCTGTGAGACTGGTTATTTATTAACTTTACAAGATGTCAGAGCTAGGCATCTGTGGCTCATCCCTATAATCTTAGCTACTCAGGAAGCTGATTTCAAAGGATTGAGGTTTGAAGCCAGTCCATGTAGGAAAATCTGTGAGACTTTTATCTCCAGTTAACTAGCAAAAAGCCAGAAGTGGAGCTGTGGTTCGAGCGGCAGAGTGCCAGCTTTGTGCAAAAAAGCCCTTAGTACAAGCCCCAGTTTGGGCACAAAATAAAAATAGTCATCACAATAGGTAAAGTTTGCTTTCGTCACTAACTTCTGACTTCTTCCATGTCTTGATTGCCTTTGTCTACAACAACATACTAAATTTCACACTTGCTTATCTCTTTCTTGTTAACATATCTACCACTGTGGTCTGTTCAGCTTTGTCCTCCTCCTGATTTCAGGATTATTGATCTCATCCCAATCATAACACCAGTTTGGGGCTGGGAAGGTAGCTCAGTGGTAGAGTGCTTGCCTTGCATGCATGAGGCCCTGGGTTTGATTCCTCAGCACCACATAAGCAGAAAAAGCCCGAAGTGGCGCTGTGGCTCAAGTGGTAGAATGCTATCCTTGAGCTGAAGAGCTGAAGGACAGTGCCCAGGCCCTGAGTTCAGGCCTCATGACCAGCAAAAAAAAAAAAAAAAGACTCAAAACTCCAGTTTGCCAGTATTGTTTTCTCAATTGTTAACCAAACAGAAAGTAACCCTATAATCAAGTGTCTACTATTAAACTATTTACTCTACAATGTTAATAGCTGATAATGTCTTAGTGTAACCATTCTGTAGTATGTGTATGAGTATGTATATAGGTAAAGTGAGGCAGGTAAAGTGATGAGTAGAGTGTGCAAGTCTTTTTTTTTTGTCAGTCCTGGGGCTGGAACTTAAGGCCTCAGTGCTGTCCCTGCGCTGTTTTGCTCAAGGCTAGCACTCTACCACTTTGTGGTTTTCTGGTGGTTAATTGAAGATAAGAGTCTCACAGACTTTCCTGCCCAGGCTGGCTTTGAACCATAATCCTCCCATTTCAGCCTCCTGAGTAGCTAGGGTAGGACTACAGAAGTGGGCTATCAGCGCCCCGACGGAAGTCATCTTTGACAAGGGAATTTTCTGGTCCTATTTTGTAGGTACTTATCTACTTTTTTGTGTGTGTGCTGGTATTGGGCCTTGAACTCACGGCTTGAGTGCTATCCCTTAGCTTTTTCACTTAAGGCTGGTTTTCTATCACTTGAGCCAAACTTCTAGGTTTTTGGTGGTTAATGGAAATAGTCTCTCAAGATTTTCCTGCCTGGGCTGGCTTCAAACCATGATTCTCAGCCTATTGAGTAGTTAGGATTACAGGTATAAACCAGCAGTACCCAGCAATCTTCTAATTTTCTTTTCAAACCTTAACCAGTTAGCATTTTTCTCCACTCTCACCCCCTGCTTTTATTCTCAGAGCTCAGGTTTTTAAAAATTGAATATATTACAAAAGAAATATAGTCAAAAAGATCAAAGCCCATGTCATCTTAGAGTTCTCAGATTCTTTCTCCTACTTCCTTCTCTTCAGCTGAGCCAGCAGGAGTGGAAGACAGAACCTCCTCCTACTGCCATAAGGCCGCTGGAGGCAGGCTTGCCAGCATCTACATTGTAGATGAGGCTTCAGATGTTGACCTTGGCCAGGGCCTTTGCAAACAAGCCAGGCCCCAGAAGTACATTTCCACCAGCTACTTTAATGACAGCATGATCTTACTCTCTGTGAAACTCACTTCAATGTCATGCAAGATGAGTAGATACAGAGGAATTTGGTGAGAGTGAGTGCTGGGCTGACACTTCCTATGAGCATGCCAGACACCTGATGAATTGAGGGCCTCACCTTGTTGTAACCGTAGCTTTCTTAGGAATCCTAAACTGTTGATGATAACTGAAGAAAATCCCTGGCTCATTTTCCACTGCTTCTTTTCAGTGGAGCACATGCATAGAGTTAAGAGTTAGTGGTGTATCTATAATCCTAGCACTTTCCAGGATGAGGTGGGAGATTGTGAGTTTGAGACCAGCCTGAACTACATAGCAAGACCTTATCCCTAAAACAAAATGAAACAACAACAAAAACAAACCGAAATGCAAAGATATCAAAGATTGAGACAGTATTCTTTTTTTTTGTCGGTTGTGGGGCTTGAACTCTGGGCCTGGGTGCTGTCCCTCAGCTCTTCAGCTCAAGGCAAGTGCTCTACTGCTTCAGCCACAGCACCACTTCTGGTTTTTCTAGTGGTTTATTGGAGGTACGAGTCTCACGGACTTTCCTGTCTGGGTTGGCTTTGAACCAGGATCCTCAGATCTCAGCCTCCTAAGTAGCTAGGATTACAAATGTGAGCCACTGGCACCCGGCTGAGACAGTATTCTTTTTCAGGGAGCTTCCCCTTCAGGAGGGTAGTAGGAAAAGGCACTGATAAAACTGGTGGGAGTGAGGTCATGAAGAGTTGTGTGCATTCATAGGAGTGTGGGGCTTAACTTTATAAGTGAAGGGTATGCTGAGAGCAGTGTGAAACTGATGAGATTTGTATTTTATTCACCTCCTGTAAATATATTTAGGATGAATTGGCATAGTGGTGGGACCAAAGTACTTTAGTGGAGGGGACAGCCCTGATGGGTACCTTTTGTTCTTGTCTTCATGGCTCCTACTTATATGTCTCAGGAGTTCACGTTATTTCTTTTCTTTTGATATTTGCTGCCATCTTTTCTATCCCTTGGGTACATTTTCTACAAAATTCCTTAAAAATTGGTATATATTTTCATTATACATTTCACATTTTAATAATTTTATTGCTAATTCTTAGAACTCAGATAAGGGTTAACCAAAATCACAAACAGGGGAATCTTTTCTTAAAAAGAAAAAAAAGAAAGTAAAGTAATGCATGTCTTGTAATCCTAGTTTCATGAAAGGCAACGTTAGGAGGATCACTGTTTAAGTCTGACTAGGGCAAAATATTAGACCCTATTCCAAAAGTAACTAAAGCAAGAAGGGCAAAGAATGTGGCTCAAGTGGTAGAGCACTTGCCTAGCAAATGTGAGGACCTGAGTTTAACCACTTGGACCTCCAAAAAAATCAATGGCTTTTTGAGGATTTAGAAATGGCAACTAGAAGTCTTGATAGCCTTGATAGCCTTCAGCTATATATCAAGGAGGACACAGGACCATCAGTTTTCATGGGCCTAAATATATGAATAGAGAAGTGGATTTACATAAAGAGACGATTAAAAAAAGACTCTTCTAAAATTATTCTTATTTGGCCAGGCACCTGTGGTTCATACCTGTAATCCTAACTACTCAGGAAGCTGAGATCTGAGAATCGAGGTTCAAAGCCAACCCAGGCAAGAAAGTCCAATGAGACTCTTATCTACAATTAAAACTGAAAAAGGTGGAAGTGGAGCTGTGGCTCAAGTGATAGTATTAGGGACAGGGACAGCACCCAGGCCCTGAGTCACACACACACACGCACGCACGCACGCACGCACGCACGCACGCGCACACACACACACACTTTTTTTCTCCCTCCTTCCCGGATCTGCTCACCTTTTCCTTCTGTTCACCTTTTCCTTCTGTTCATTAAATTTGTCCAGAACTTTTGATTAGGAGAGAAAACTTTTCTGTTTCCTCAATTGTCCAAATTAGTTCCAGATGTTGTGTTTACTTCAGAGATGATTTATTTTCTCTTCTAGGTCTTAATCTTAAAGGCCCATCTAAGGCCTTTAGGTGCCTTTAAGTCAGGCAAAGTGCTTCCCTATCAGTATCTTTATTGGCACATAGTTACAAAGGTTTCTTTATTGTAGTGGATTAATGAGGTTGTTCAAAGCTGGGATAGGAAAATATTGATCTTTAAAGTTTCTTCCTTTCAGCCTAAGTGCTAGTGGCTCATGCCTATAATCTTAGCTTCTCAGGAAATCAAAATCAGGGGATCATGGTTTGAAGCTATCTGCAGACTTTAACACTTAATCACCAATTAACTGACAAAAAACTGGGCTGGAGCAATAGAACACCAACTGTGAGCAAACAAGTTGATCAAGAGTATTACATCCTGAGTTCAAGCCATGGTAGTGGTACAAAAAAATTTTTTTCCTCCTTTTAAGTGGTGCGTAAGTATCTTCCAAAATAGGTGTAGACAACTGGATAGCCATTGTGGAAGGATGGCAGGCAGAAGAGGAAAGCAAGGGCTCCAACAGATGACTATAGTTGGAGAAGAGGAACTTTAGTGGTACTGTTGGTATCTTCCTGGTGTTCTTCACAGGTTTGTTGTCCATGAACAAAGACATTGCATAAGCATTCAAATCACATACCTTTAACTCTTGAGCATTATCACCCAAGTCTGACCAGAACCTATATTATCTTTTTTAAGGCTTTGCATAACAAAGAGCTTTTAGTGAGAAATAAACTTAGTTAAGTGTGACATTTCCTAATCTCTTTAAATGGTAAAAAGCCCCCCCCCTCATTTGCTCCTATAGCCTTGTAAGGTCAATTCTGCCCAGACTTGACCTGCTTTTTCACTTACTCAAAAATTATGCTCCTTTTATTGTGCATAGCTAGTGTCTATGCTAAGTGTTATATATAGACTCATTCTTTCCTCAATAAACATTTAGTTTAGTGGGGACTTATTAAAAAAAAAAGATAAACTATAGAAGCATATTGTATTTAAAGGGCCAGCTTCTATGGAAGAAAAAAAGAGACTTCTGAAAAGGTAGCATATAAACAGATAAAGCAAAATGTGTTTAGATTTAGCATGTTGGCTTAGAGAACTTCTGATTTGCCTATGGGAGTGTGTAGAGTGGCTGGGTAGGAAGGAAATCCTAAGGTGTAGGATGAGGTTAGATCACCTTTCTCAATAAGGTGGTAACCCCAAGATGTCGGTGTGTCCTTGATAGAGGCCTGGTAAATATCTACCTTGAACAGAAGATGCAATTTACATCTTCCTGGAAGCAGATGCCCAGGTAATAATTTCACAGAACCATCTTTCCTCTCTAACCAAGTCTCTCTTGGCAGAAATGGTGCATTAATTCACAGAATTTCATTTGTGAGTCAAACATACAGATAGTCCTCCAGGAGGGTCATCAGAAACAGACTGGCCGAGTTGAAGTCTGATGCAGTGTTGAGACAGTTTATCCTTCCATTGCTTTTCTCTTCTCCTTCTCTGCAATAACGTGTGTGTGTGTGTGTGTGTGTGTGTGTGTGTGTGTGTGTGTGTGTGTGTGTGTGTGTGTGTGTGTGTGGCGGGGGTTGGGGTGGGGGGGGGGGTGCAGGCCTGGGGGCGGGGTGCTGGGGAAGGCAAAGGATGAGGTTGAGCACAGCTGTAATGTGTGGGACTTAGGTAGTAGGTTGTTGAATGGCCGGTCACCAGAAGGCTGGGCTGCGCGTGAATGGCGCTCAGCAATCAAGAATTCTGGTTCCTGTCTTCCTGACCTTACCTTTGCTGCGGTTCTTTAGCCTTAGGTTTCTTTTGCGTCCTTCCTTGTCTGTCCCTCAGGATCGCTTTTGAAAGCCTCTTTCTTTCCTTGGGCGAGCTATTTGCCTAGCTAACATTTACATCCTTCTCTGCCTGGCCTTGAGTTCTGTTTTTTTTTTTTTTTCCTCCCCTCCCTCACGTCCTGGTGTGTTGCCTCGAGGCGGGCGGCTCCAGGAACTTCAGACGGATGCAGCCACGAGCCGCTGCCACGTCTCCACCGCTAGTAATCCAGCGCCTACGTGGGCCCAGGGGGCGGGGCGGCGCGGGGAGGCGGGACCTACCGTGAGTAGCGCGGACACGGCCCAATGGGGCTTGCCTGCGGCGGCGCGGTGCGCGCTGGGGGGCGGGGCCGGCGGCGGTTGGGGGCTGAGCCCGGGAGGCGGAGGTTTGTCGTTGCTCCGGCCGCCGCATCCCGGAGGGAGTCGTGTGGTCGCCTACCCAGACTCCGGAGCTCTTTCCACGTCGCTGCGCTCGTGTGTGCACGCCGGGTCTCGCTAGCCGCTCTCCCCATCGCCCAGCGGGCCGCGCCTCCGGCAGCATGTGCGGTAAGGGGACCTCGGGTGGGGGGCGTGTTGCCGGGCGGTCCTGAGGTGCGGAGCGCGCGTCGCCGAGGCCCGCGGCGCTGCCGAAGCCGGGCGCGTGTCTGGGATGGGCAGGGGGCGTTGAGCGGCGGCTGCGGCCGCAGCCGCGGGAGGTGGGGGTCCCCAGAAGACACCTGGGAGGTTGGGTGGGCCTCTGAGCGGGACCGGGAGCGGGCTGCACCGGGAAGGAGCCGAGCGCGGCGGACAGAGGCGGCTCGTGCTCTCGGGCCGGAGGCACTGAGGTGTGGACGGGGCGCCTTGGAAATGGGCCTCCAGGAGGCAACCTGTGGAACCTAGGGTGGCATCCGCAAACTTAGCCCTCATTCTGCGAGAGGAAAAGCGGATTGCAGCCGCCGCCTTCCTGAGAGGCCCTCTGGAACTAACCGGAGTCCTATCACAATGGCATTTATGCATAGCATCTTACTTCCTGCCACTCCCCGCCTCCCCAGAAAGCCTCACCAATCGATAGCTCCAAGAAGCGGGCTGAGAACTGCCTGATCCCTGCGTGGCAGAGGTTCAGAACTGTTCCTGGGAACAGACCACACATCCTGGCTTATTTGCATGTACTTAGGGGAAACATGCTTAGTTATGAGTAATATTTATCGTCTATCATTTGCGATGGGTACCCATTTCAAATAGTCACTTCAAAAGAATTTAACCAATGGCTTTTCTAGAACAGTTACGAGATCCCTGTATTCCATGTGTTGAGAGTTCTTTTTTTTTGTCGGTCGTGGGGCTTGAACTCTGGGCCTGGGCGCTGTCCCTCAGCTCTTCAGCTCAAGGCGAGCGCTCTACCACTTGAGCTACAGCGCCACTTCCGGTTTTCTGGTGGTTTATTGGAGATAGGAGTCTCACGGTCTTTCCTGCCCGGGCTGGCTTTGAACCGCGATCCTCAGATCTCAGCCTCCTGAGTAGCTAGGATTACAGGTGTGAGCCATCAGCGCCCGGCTTGAGAGTTCTTTTTATTATCTTCTAAAAGTGTTACTGAAAGAGGTTGTGTGAATGACATCCGACGTGACATTATACTTTAAAATTTGTCTTTTCTTTTTGAAATTGCTTTTCTTTTTTGAAATTGACCATTGATGTTACCTTCTGGAACTCAGAACACTTTTTAAAGAGAGGTAAGGTAGTAATGGAGTTGAAGCTGCTTGGGAAAGTTAACTGTGTAGCCTTTGACATGAAGAAACTGGGTAAGATTGTACTGATTAATGTCTTTTGTCCCCCTGTATTCACTTTATGTTAATTTCAGCTTCTGGAAGTGAGGAACAGGTTTAAATTTAGAGTAGATTAAAAAAAAACATAAAAACAGAAACACCTATAAATAGCTTAGTGCAATTATTATTAGAGTTGGCTTCAGAATCAGTTATACGTTTGCTGTGTCTAAGTAGAATAGTTTTGTAAAACACATGATTTAAATTAGTGTTGTAATATAGAGAATTTTCAAACTGGTTAAATGCCAGTGTGCTTCATTTGGTAATTAACTGTTCTTTAGTGACTAATTGTGTGTGTGTGTAAAGTACCCTGACATTCTGGTTGCAGGTTATTTCCTCATCTTGCTCCAGGAAAAAAGGGTGTTGAGGTACTATAGAAGAAGAAAATCAGATCTGGTTTAGAGATGGGCTCAGATAAGGAAGAATTTTAGGGTGTTGTCTGAAGTACTGGGAATTTTTATATAGCCAGTCAAGGTAACCATTAGGCAAAAGTTTTACTGGTAAGGAAATAAGATTATGAAGAATAAATAGGCCAGACAATTTGAGGCATGTCCAACGTCTAGCTTTAACTAGCCCATAGTTGTGCTTAATTCCAGAATAGTACTCAAGGGGCTGGGAAGGTGGCTCAGTGGTAGAGCGCTTGCCTTGCATGCTCGAGGCCCTGGGTTCGATTCCTCAGCACCACAGAAGCAAAAAGAAAAAAGCCGGAAGTGGTGCTGTGGCTCAAGTGGTAGAGCGCTAGCCTTGAGCTGAAGAGCTGAGGGACAATGCCTAGGCCCAGAGTTCAGGCCCCACGACCAGACCCAAAAAAAAAAAAAAAACAAAACACAGAATAGTACTCAAAATTTCCTCTCTAATGAAAAATTCAAAAATAAGATATGTGCAATTAATTTCCTCCCACATTTGTTTATTAATTTTTGTGCTGGTCCTGGCACTTGAACTCAAGTTGTTTTTCTCACAGCTAGCCTCTACTGCTTTAGCCATAGCTCTACTTCCAGCGTTTTGGTGGTTAACTGGAGGTTAACCACTTGGGCTGGTTTGAACTGTAATTCTCAGATCTCAGCCTCCTGTGTAGCTAGGATTAAAGGGTGAGGCACCAGTGCCCAGTTCCCAGTCCTTTTTATTTAATTTGAGACTGAGTTTTGTTAAATTATCCAGGCTAGCCTACAACATACTAAACCTCCTGCCCTTAGCCTTCTTAGCATGTGGGATTATAGGCATTTGCCACCAATCCTGGCTTATTCTTTACGCTAAGAAATAGTTTTTTTCTTTTTATGGTCTTTGTATATTTGTTTTTGTGTCTATATTTGGGTTTGAACTCAGGGCCTCACACTCATAGAATCATGTTTCCACTTCTGACTTTTTTCAAGTTAATTGGAGATAGGAATTTTCAGGATTTGTTTGCTAGGCTGGCTATGAACCTTGATTCTCAAATCTCAGCCTCCTGAGTAGCTCGGAATATAGGTGTGAGTAGTACCCAGATGGCTTTGGTTTTGCTGAAGTATCAAATATCAGGTCACTTAAATGTCTACTAGCTTTTCATAAATTGTCTTTCTGATTATTAAGTAAATGAAGTAAATGAATTATACCCTTTTGATTTTTGGAGTTTTGCAACTGAGATTTTGCTCAAAAGCTGCTAGGGGGGCTGGGAAGGTGGCTCAGTGGTAGAGCGCTTGCATGAGGCCCTGGGTTCCATTCCTTAGCACCACATAAGCAAAAAGAAAAAAGCCAGAAGTGGTGCTGTGGTTCAAGTGGTAGAGTGCTAGCCTTGAGCTGAAGAGCTGAGGTACAGTGCCCAGGCCCAGAGTTCAGGCCCCACAACCGGACCCCCCCCCCCCCCAAAAAAAAAAAGCTGCAAGGGGACTTGCAATTTAAAAGTATCTTACAAAAGGATAAGAGGGATGGCTCACACCTATAATGCCAGCTACTCAAGAGGCAGAGATCCAGAAGATTGCAGGCCACACTAGGCAAAAAGTTATCAAGACTCTATCTCAGCAAACAAGTCAGGTCTAGTGGCTCATAACTGTGATAACAGTTTTGTGGAAGGCATAAGTAGGAAGATGGCTGAGGCCAGCACAGTCAAAAACCCAAGACCATATTTGAAAAGTAAGTACCAAAAAGGGGGTGGGTGCGGGAGTGGGTGTAGTATGGCATGGTTCAAGTGGTAGCAAGCCTGTCTAGTAAACTTGAGGCCCTGAGTTCAAACTCTAGTAATGCCTGCTCTCAAAATAAGATAAAACAATGTATTTGGAAATCAAATCCTTTTTTTTTTTTTTTTTGTAATTATACTGTCTAATGGTCTTGGTGGTAATTGAAGGATTTTGAAACTGGTTGCTGGAATGAGTCATAAAACCAGTACTAGTAACACATCCTTAGATATCATACTGGATATAAAGTTGTAAGAGAAGATAATTAATTGCCTAATAAGCATTTCCTGTATTTTGTTTCCTAAAATGGGAGAAGTAAATAGATGCTAGTAATGAGAAGCAGAAGGTGGAAGGTGTTGTAACATAAGAGTTCTAGGAAGCCGGGCGCCGGTGGCTCAACGCCTGTAATCCTAGCTACTCAGGAGGCTGAGATCTGAGGATCAAGGTTCAAAGCCAACCTGGGCAGGAAAGTTCTTGAGACTCTTATATCCAATAAACCGCTAGAAAACCGGAAGTGGTACTGTGGCTCAAGCGGTAGAGTGCTGAAGAGCACAGGGACATCGCCTAAGCCCAGAGTTCAACCCCACGACCGACAAAAAAAAAAAAAGAGTTCTAGGAGATTCCAGAAAACTCCAAATACAAACCTGATTACTTTGCTAAACTTGGTATCTTTTGAACTTTTCATTATGAAATCTTTTTTTTCACTTCATAACTTTTTAAGATGCTGGCTGAAGCTTTTCAGAAGCTGCAAATTTAGACTGTGTATGGTCAGGTATCTAGAAAATATTAGAATATACTATGAAGATGGCCTTTATGCATTGGCATTCTGTGGAGAGGTGACTAAAACAAGGTATTGCCTTCAAGGAATTGCTCTCTGGTCAGAGGAAGCAAAGTGAATGCACATCCTTATTCATTGCCATTTCATAGACCACTGTAGAAGTTCAGGCCGGAGTGCTCTGGACTTGGGGTATCTATGTGAGACCAAGAATATTCTAGATGATGGGGCAGGACTCTTGAGAGAAGGTGTTGGTTGGTAGAGATTAGTGTACAATAATGAGTTTCTCATTAAGGAAGAAGGAAGTTGAAGGAAGAAATAAAAGTGCAAGGAAAGAAACCAAAGGACAGTTGTATAGTGGGTAGTGGCAGAAGTAGAGCTGATTTTATAATCAGACTTTTGCTTGGTCTAATTAGTGAAATTGTTTTACCATTGCATAGTCTACAAGGGTAGAAAAGAGGGCGTTCGTAGGTTTTCTTTTTTCTTCTTTCTGTTTCTCTCCATTTTTCCCCTACTCTGTTTCTTCTACATTCCTACTTCTCACTTCAGTGTGGGGGATTGAACTGAGGGCCTTGTGAATGGTAGCCAAGAATGCTGCATTAAGCTACACTCCCAGTCTGAGTCATTCATGTTTAATGCTTCAGAGAAGATTGTTGCACTTGAATATGAAGAAGTCATTGTTAATCCCATATATGAAAGTAGAAAGGCTTGAGTTTTGTGGAGGAAAAGGTCAGTGAGTAATAATGAAGTTTAGAAGTCCTCTGAGAGTTTTGAAAAGTTGAGTGGTTTCTGACCTGTTAAGTGAGAGATTATTTACTACAGAGTGCCCAT